TATATATATATATATATATAAATTAAATAGGTTTTAATCACAGTGATTTTCATATTTACATATAACGTGCGTTGTAGACTGGGAATACAAAAAAAAATCGATAAACTGCACCGAATCGATAATCCGAGTCAAACCGGGAAAAAAACTCGATTGTGGTTTGATTTGATTTGGTTTGGTATTGGAAAAGAAAACCCGACCATAACTGGTTTGGTTTGGTTTTAACTAAAAAAAGTCAAACTGAAACCAAACCAACCCGATAGTACATTTATATAATTTTTAAAAATATTTTATACATATAAATATTTATTGTAATGTAATTTATAAATATTTCTTAAACTTTTTTACAATTTTATCTTTTAACATATTATTTCAAGTTTGGACTTAACATTCTTGAATGGTAAGTAAATTTTATAGCCCATAAATGTAGTAACTCAAACAAAGTTCAAATCAATACTAATGCTAACAAAAGAAACTCAATTCAACACTAAGAATGATGATAGTGTTGGATATCTATTTTTTAGTTTTACATTGGTTTATACTGAAAAGACATAACTTAGTTTATCTTTTTCTTTAGTGCTTAATTATGTAATTAGTAGTACTTATTAGCTAGACTTATTTTAGCATGACATATATATATAGTATATTTAGATTATATTAATTTTTATTATGACTTATTAATTAGCAATATTTGCTTTATGTAATTTTATTATCTTTATTATTGAATATTTTAGTATAATGCTATGACTGATCTCATATTGTGTTATTGTTTTGGAAAATGTAATATATAGTTGTATCTTAATAGGACTAAAGAAATATTTGGAGTACAATTTACATATTTTGTGCTATAAAGACTTTGTCGGAAAAAAACCCGAAAATCCGAAAGAAACCGAAAAATCCGAGATTGAAAAACCCGATTTTGTTGGTTTGGTTTGGTTTATAGATTTAAAAACCCGACACCATTGATTCGGTTTGGTAATTGAAAATTTTGAATCAACCCGACCTATATACAGCCTTAGTTGTAGACAACAATGTTGTAGTGACCTTTCAAGTAAGGTCCTTAAATTCCTGTTCTATTTCATGCCTTTTTGCTACTTCACTCCCAGCTTGTTTAGATGGTTGTTACTTGTTGTATTGTATTGTTACTTTAAATGTAATATTTATATTTATTTTAGTTGTTACTTAAATTTTATTATATGGTATCATTAACAACGTAATGACGAAAAGTGTTACTGTATGAAACGTGAAATTTGATGAGGTAGCGTCGTTACCTTACTTTTTTCTCTCATCTTACTCTTCCTTATTATTAAATAATCATATTTTATCCTTTACCCTACTCTTTTATATAATAATTCTACTTCATATCCTATTTTTTCTTAGTAATATTGCAAGTTTATTCTTCATATTGTTAGTGCTCATCATGAAACGACGGCAAACAATATAGTCTATCCAAACGTTGTATTCATCAAACAATACAATACAATACGATACATTATGAAACTGACATGTAACAACAATCCAAACAAACTGTGCTGAAATCACAAGCTTTAACAAAACAAACCAATTAATTTGAAGATATAGCAAGTGCAATACTCGGAAGAAACTCTTGTAACCAAGGAAATATGAAAAGACAACAGGCACACCAGCAATTATTTTGTAACTCGAGGCATATTCTAACATCACAGTTGAGCATTATTTAAACAAGATGAAATTTTGGATTCAATTTATCACTATCGATCCCTATTTGTAGTTAGGTAGTAAGACCGAATGACCTTAAATGAACTGGAGAAACAAAAAAACTCAAAAAACTACCAAGCGATAATGCTGCACGAGTCGCATAAAAGGAACATCTTGTACATGTTAAAGCGGTACACGAGACTGTTTCTTTGATCTTATGCCAAAGACCTTGTGCTGGTTCTTTTGACATCCCCCATATCCTGCTTATTCACCAACAGGAGTATTATTGCCCTAGCATTTCTTGTGCTGAAAATCCAAAATAGTTATCAAAGAAGTTTGGTGGTTCAAATATGAAGCAAGAAATGACATCTCTGAGTGTAATAACACCAATGACTTCATCGTCTTCCCCAGCCGTCACGTAGATCCTGTGAACCAACTTGGATGCAAGAGTGTCTATCACATTACCAAGAGTTGACTCATGCTTGCATGTTATTGGTGTAGAAACCTTTGTGGCATCATGAGTTGCCGAAGCAACTGTGTTCATGAAGCCCGTGACTGTCAGCTGCCTGCAATTCGGACGGGCAAAATTAAGTACTGATTCACATATTGAATTCAACTGTCATATATCAAAAATGGTGTTTTCTGATTTTCATGCATATGTTCAACCATGAGAAGGTCTCTAGAATTGAAACCCTATCTTGAAAGTTATCAAATATTCAGATCCCAGAGGAAGAAGCAAGTTATCTGTACTATACCTGAAATTGGAGAAGAGTTCAGGCTTGAGTAACAAGAATCTGATGTCTCTTATGCTTACATTGCCAACTATCTTCTTCTTTGTCCCTTCCACAACTGGAAGACCTCCAATATTGTTGTCTCTCATTTTCTTGAATGCTTCCAAAATCAGTTCATCGTTTTGAACGCAAATAACCTGTGTGTATGTGGAAAGACAGAGACTTGGCATCACCAAACTTCTGTAATATCAGAAGAATATCTAAAAGTGTCAGGAGCTACAAATTTCTGACCTCATCAGGGGACATGTAAGGGAGGCCAAGCTCTGATATAGGATGAGCAGAGATGCAGTCAAACCAATCCCTCCCTTTGCATCCTTCAAGACCCCTTATAACAGCCGATTGTGTTATGAAGTTCTTAAGGAATGGATTTCCTCTTTCAATCACCGGTAC